TCTTTCTTTCTTTCTTTTCTTTCTTTCTTTCTTTTTTTTCTTTCTTTCTTTTCTTTCTTTCTTTCTTTCTTTCTTTCTTTCTTTCTTTCTTTCTTTCTTTCTTTCTTTCTTTCTTTCTTTCTTTCTTTCTTTCTTCTTTCTTCTTTTCTTTCTTCTTTCTTTCTTTCTTTCTTCTTCTTTCTTCTTCTTCTTCTTCTTCTTCTTCTTCTTTTCTTCTTCTTCTTCTTCTTCTTCTTTCTTCTTCTTCTTCTTCTTTCTTCTTCTTCTTCTTTCTTCTTCTTCTTCTTCTTCTTCTTCTTCTTCTTCTTCTTCTTCTTCTTCTTCTTCTTCTTCTTCTTCTTCTTCTTCTTCTTCTTCTTCTTCTTCTTCTTCTTCTTCTTCTTCTTTCTTCTTCTTCTTCTTCTTCTTCTTCTTCTTCTTCTTCTCTCTTCTTCTTCTTCTTCTTCTTCTTCTTCTTCTTCTTCTTCTTCTTCTTCTTCTTCTTCTTCTTCTTCTTCTCTTCTTCTTCTTCTTCTGCTTCTTCTTCTTCTTCTTCTTCTTCTTCTTCTTCTTCTTCTTCTTCTTCTTCTTCTTCTTCTTCTTCTTCTTCTTCTTCTTCTTCTTCTTCTTCTTCTTCTTCTTCTTCTTCTTCTTCTTCTTCTTCTTCTTCTTCTTCTCTTCTTCTTCTTCTTCTTCTTCTTCTTCTTCTTCTTCTTCTTCTTCTTCTTCTTCTTCTTCTTCTTCTTCTTCTTCTTCTTCTTCTTCTTCTTCTTCTTCTTCTTCTTCTTCTTCTTCTTTTCTTCTTCTTCTTCTTCTTCTTCTTCTTCTTCTTCTTCTTCTTCTTCTTCTCTTCTTCTTCTTCCTTTTCTGCACTCTCCTACTCTTCTGCATTTTCCTATACTTCCACAATACAGCTAATGAAGCATATAAAGCTGTAAAAGAAAGAAAAAGAAATAGAGAGAGAAAAAATAAAGATATATATGTATATATATATATATATATATATATATATATATATATTATATATATATATATATCTTTATTTTTTCTCTCTCTATTTCTATATATATATATATATATATATATATATATATTATATATATATATATATAGAAAGAAAGAGAGAGAGAGAAAACAAACGAACGAACTTTACTTTTAGAGAGAGAGAGAGAGTGAATGAGTGAGTGAGTGAGTGAGTGAGTGTGTGAGGGAGTGAGTAAGTGAAAGAGACACATGATAGGAAAACTGACTAAGAATATTTGAAGGAAAAGAGTCAGGTGCAATTCAAGGGAAATTGTGTTCATTGTTTTTAGGTAGGGAAGAAATATCTTCAGCTGAACTGATCAGATCTATAACAGCAACAATCTAAAAATGTACAGTTACTCAGAGACAACGAAACAAATAACAACAGGAACATTATGGAACAGTACTGAGCAAGATTCAGATTGTGTGTATGTGTGTGTATGTTTGTGTAAGTATATGTGTGTGTGTATATATATATATATATGTATATATATATATATATATATATATATATATATATATATATATATATATATATATATATATATATATATAGATACATACATATGTGTGTATGTGTGCGTATTAGGAAACAATGAAAGTTGAACGTGAATGAAAAACGTAGACAATGGCAACATTTGAAAAGTAAATTACTTTACTTTTACTTTTTCCTTCCACGTATGCCGCTAAGCGTTGTGGGGAGATGCAAGTTCCTGTCGTAAGCAAGGCGGGCAGCATCTGATGTTCTGAGGCCATGCTTTTGGCAGGTTTCGGAGACCCCGTCAATCCACCGTTTCCTTGGTCTTCCTCTTGCCTTATATCCTGAGCTTCTTTGGTTGAAAATTTGCGATGTTATTTGATCATTATTCATCCTGGTTAGATGTCCAAACCATTTCATTCTTTGATGTTCTATGTAGTCTAAACATGTGTAGTTTTTGACAGTGTTTCTAATGTCTATATTCTTTATCCTGTCTAGTCTAGTCTTATTCGCTGCTTTTCTTAGACATTTCATTTCACAGGCTTCTATTTTTCTTTCATGGGTCTTGTTGATTGTCCATGTCTGGCACTGGTAGCAGAGTGTTGGAATGAAGATGGTGTTTATCAATTGTCTTTTGGTCTTCATGGTTATATCTGGATGTTTAAGCAGAGGTGATAGTTGGTATGTGACAGCATTTGCTTTCTGTATTCTTGTTTCTATCTCTCTGTCCATTCTTCCATCCTCTGTAAATATACTGCCCAAGTATTTGAACTCTTTGGGGTTGCTTGATTTTGGCACTTCCAACATTTATATTCAGTGGCCTGTGTGTTCTGCTGAACTTCATAACTTCTGTTTTTTCTGTACTGATTTTCATATTATGTTGTAAACAGCTGTTGTTGAGAGTAATCAGATGTTCCTGTAGATCATATTCATTTTGATACAGTATGCTTTGATCATCAGCAAAAAGTAATTCGTTTATAGCATACACGTCTGGGTTTGCTTCTACAGTGATCTTATCCATGTATGTTATGAAAAGTAATGGTGACAGTACACATCCTTGTCTGACACCAGTTGTGACTTTGAACCATTCAGAAAGACCACTAGATGTTCTTACTGCACTTTCACTTTTTTCATAGAGGGCTCTGATGTTGTCTAATAATTGACCCTGCACTCCGTAATCGTCAAGAATTCTCCACAGCACATCTCTGTCTACACGGTCGAATGCCTTCTCTTGGTCTACAAAGACCACGTTCAGCTCTTTATCGTATTCGAGTGTCTTTTCACAGACTTGTCTTAGTGCAAATATGGCATCAGTGCAAAAAGTAAATTAGTGAGTTAAAATGAACTGAGAAAGAGTTGTTAGGAAAGGAAATTGCTTGCATCCAGTTGTGTCGACATTCCACGCGACAATAGCAAGGAAAGCGATTCAATAGAATGTGTATACAATTGATTTTTAGCATAAGATGCCATAATTTTCGCCTTGCTCACTGTTTGTACATTGTGCTGTATTTTTTTTTTAAATCTAAATCTTCTTTAATTCATATTCTGTTGATCAACAATCTTCTTGTTTTTATGTTTTATGGATTTATATTCTTCTGGTATTAACATTTTGTTGATCTACAATCATTGTGATTTATTTTCTGCTGATCTGCAGTCTTCTGGTGTTTTATCTGATTAATTTACAAAGGTCGTATTTTTATATTCTGTTGATCTACAGACTTCTAGGATTTAAATTTTGTAGATCTTCCATGATGTTCATTTTATAGTTTATCTACAATCTAATGGTCACTATATTTGGTTAATCTTCAATCATCTTGTTTTTATAGTCTGTTGATCTACAATGATATGGTCTCTATATTTTGTTGATCTACAGTCATCTGGCGTTTATATTTTGTTGATCTACAATTTTCCAGTTTTTGTGTGTGTATATATTCTTTTGTACTTCAAAGTCTGGTATTTATCATACATTGGTATCTAACACTTTTTTTTTACTTATATACTCATCACATTTTTGTATCTGTATTGTGTGCACACACCGTGTTTCTATAAAACCACAGCTCAACAGCCTCTAAATCAATTGTTACTGATCAACTGACTGCTCATGATTCACTTCCGTACATCAGGATTGACTCGATATAGCTTTCAAGAACCCTTGTCAAGTAAACTGACACTAATAGATAACACTCTTCATTCTCTGAAGGGTTGCATTTGCTGAAGATATTCCGAATGTAACTGCTTGAGTCCAACTTGCGACTGCTGTTATTGGGATGCCTAAATACTTAGAAGTATTGCCTTCAAACTTGCCCAGTAACTTGTCCTCAATATAATGAAATCATCAGCTAAATCCAGCTGTAACTGACATACGGTATAACGGATATCGGACAATCCCTTTCTAAACAATAGGGGCTGCTGGTTCGTTCTTGAAACTCAATAAAAATTGTCGCTTTGTTTAGTCAGACACAAGGCAATAACTTATCAAGTGTTTGTTGCTTCTTTTCTGATACTTGTGCTGATCTTCTCGTGTTCTTCCTAGTTGTTTCACAAACTTCTTAACTTCCGCCGCCAACTACCTTTTTGACTCCTTCAGATCATAGCATTTCAACGTTAAAAACTCGCTGCAGAATTGTGTAGGCCATTGAAACAAATGATAAAGACATAGACATTGATTGACACTCACAGATGTGGGGGAAATGGTAGAAATAAGAGAACACACTGAAAATCAATAACATGTAAGGTTATAGTTATAACAGGAGGTGAACATTTTACCTGCAAAAGAGGAGAGTCTGGCTACTGGAATTATTTTGCTTTGGCACATAGCGAAATACGGTGTTGGCTTTCTAAAAACACATGTCATTGTTAGTGAAGTCTGCCATACACCCGAATCACAACTATGGAATATTTATACAGATTTAGATGCGCATTTTGTCCACACTCCATAGCATTTGTAGGAAGAAAAAGAAGAATAAGTGGTAGTAGTTGTTGTAGTTGTTCTAATAGCAGTATTAGAAAATGTTTAGCGATCGTGATACGTTGTAACTAAAGACAGATCTGATATAGTGACGTAGTCTCAAATTAAACACCCTGTGAACTTTAAATACATCAAAAACTATGAGTCAGAACGCTCATCTACAGGGAAGCTGAACACGTAAACAAATGGAACGTTTTCAACCATGTGCATCATCACCTCGTTACTGAAATACCTACTCGTTTCATCTAGATCTACCTTGATCTTGAAAAACTCTTGAAACATTTACGTTTGGACTAAGTGGTGACAGACAGAGAATGACGCATTTATTTCCTTTTATGTTGCGTGTTGACGTTTAATGTTAGCAAATATTCCAATGATTGAACAGATATTGTTTTAATCTTTCAGATATCCAGCCTGTCTGTGGTAGACATGATGAAAGTGTCATCTGCAAAGACAGTTTAGGGGTCTCTTCTGGTCAGATGTCTAGCACATTCTTGACATAAACGTCGTCAACAGTGACAACAGAATCCCTACATTAGCTGACAAATAAACATGGCCTTGGACGACAGAGGCTTATCCGGGGAGCAATTTGTGGAGTTGACATGTAAAAATGAAAACCTGCCGCCATTTTCTATCAGCGCCACTTTTACAGATTTGGCATGTAAAAACAAGAGCCTGCCACCGTTTTCGAGCAGCGCCACTTTCACAGAACCACCAGCTTACTATCATCACACTGAGTATGACTGGCAGCACACACAACTAGCTCAGCATCCGGTGCTGCCTCACCAGGCTCATCTGTTAGAATCCGAGAGACACTTTTACCAAGATTGTGCTGATGAAAGCGACGTTAGTGCTCACGGCTATTCTACGTATGGACATCCATCTGCGACTCATGCAGATTTTTGTTCCACGGGCCATGGTCTGTGGCCCGTAGATAACTCCGGCGAACATATGGCAGCAGGACAGTTCGGTCAGCATGGTCTATTCTTTTCTGGGTTAGATATTGGCCAGCAAAATATGGCCCAGCAAACAAGTGGTAGCGGTAGCAGCAGCGGTAAACCAAAGAGAAAGCGGGTCCAGTCGCATACTCAGAGAAGAGCGGCCAATGTACGCGAGAGGAGAAGGATGTTTCATCTCAACGAGGCATTCGATGAGCTGCGAAAGAGGCTTCCAGCATTTAACTACGAAAAACGACTGTCTAGAATAGAAACTCTGAGGCTGGCCATGACCTACATATCTTTCATGAAAGAAGTCAGTGTTGGCCGCGATCCCAAATGCGTCAAACTCAAGCCACATGGGTCAGAACTCTCACCAATGGCTCGAAGCGGCAGCAGTATGCTGGCCTCACCACATTCGTCCAGCGTCAACACCGATGACCAGTGTCATGCTGCTGACGACAGTGACTGCAGCAACGATGAACTCAGTAACCACAGTGGAGGCAACTAA